GGGGCGAGTCTAGAGACTTCCCAAAATCTGAACATGGAGCCTCTTCGTGAGTCCTAACTGATCAGAGAAAAGAAAGAACTTGGGAAGAAGGCAAGAGAGCAACAATTTTTCTGAGAGGCGCTCTTGCTGAAGGTGAACCTAAGTTGGGCTGAAAAGCTGGGCATGGATTCCGCACATGTCTAGCAGACGGGCAGCGTTGAAACCCGTCCAACCGTCACACTGCCCCTGCTGACTCACTCTGTGCATCTAGACGTCTTGTTCAAAAGTAGAAAGATGTTGCACTCTTTCAGGTCTGCGAAGAAGGAAAGCGCCCGTGGCGCCTCCTCTGCTGTTGAGCGCTTCGTTCGAGAAGCTCCGCTTCGACCCAGCCCACCCACCCTAAAGACAAGCTAAAGACACTTAAGACAGAAATCTCACCTGTCAGTGGCCGCTTCCGGCCCACTGCCCCCTAACGCGACCTCCATTACCGCAGGCACCTTTTGTAATGCAGACCTCCCTTTGCTTCCTACTCGCCAGAGCTCGGCCCCACCGCTCATCGCGCGTCACTCAAAAACCCCCAAACCCTGACTTCTTCGATCGACTGCTCACAACCGTCGATCTGTGTCCCCCCCGGTCAGAACCGCAAAATTTCAACCTTCGGTCCGCGGCGACCTTCCCGGTAATGCAACCCCTGCAGGTCGCCGCACTGTCCCGGACGTCATACGCAAACCTCCGGTGCCCCTATGCCTTACCCGGCGTTTTCGGCACACCAGGAGCACTTTGCAACCGTCCGGGCGCCCCCCAACACCCCTATCGGAAGGTTGAGATTGAACGGAACTGACAATCCTGGATCTGTGATTGGTTGTTAAAGTGTTCTTATGATTTTAGGCTCTTGCAAACGGTCACCCTGTCAAACTTCAATACTGAGCGTTAATGGTATGAGGGAACCAAGCCTCTAGTTTGCAAAGCCATCTGTTACCAAAGCATGATCTGTTGAACGAAGCATGATCCTTGGCCCTAGTCCTAGCTCAGAGCTGCTCCAAGACAACTTGGCCCATCTCAGGCTCTCAATTCACTTGTTCTAAGTTTGCACACCAGTCGTCTCCTTGAGTTTTTCCAACTTTCACAAAGCATTGAGTGGTGGTACTTTTCAAGTCAGTGGTGGTTTACCACATTGGCGGCAAAGCTTCACTCGGTACATCGCATCAACCTTTCAGCAGCAATGGGGAAGAAGAGGAAGGTTGGCGCTGACGAGGTTGCTCTGAAACAGAGCGGGGCAAAAAAGTCCAAAGCTGAACCAGCCGGGGAGAAGGCACCGGCAGCGGTGGTAGAAGCGGGCAATGGGGCCGCCAAGGATGTCTTTAGAAATAAAGAGAAGGTGCTCGTACTGTGTTCGAGGGGCATCACGTATAGGTGGGCACAAAGGAAATATCGTTCTGGTTTATTGTATGCGCTTATGCGCGCGCGGGTGAAGGGAATGCTTGCTTTTAGAGTTGCGCATGCGGCAGCACTTGTGGTGGTGTAAGAGAGTAGTGGCAGGAAGACATGTCCGTCTGCGTTGTCTAACCACCTCCGGTTGTGGAGCATACCGATTGATTGTTGTGGCACGACTTCTCAGGGAGAATCAATGTTTCCTTCTCGCGGCCGCTTCCGTTAGTTTTTGAACCTCTGTATATGTATCTGATGAAAGTGTGGCGGCCCTTGATTGGTTGTGTGTATAATAAATGTGCCACTACATGGACTTTCAAATGGGTGGTGCAACTGATAAGCATTGGGCAGGTGCAGATGCTGCGTACCGTATGATGTTCGCAGTATGAAGAAGAGGGTGACACCACCATTTCTAAAATAGAAACGGCGCTGATTGCAGAGAACTGAATGTAGACTTAGCTTTACTCGTTTGGCCTAAGTCCATCTCCGAACTCCGTCAATCTAACCCCGGTCAGGTTCAAACCTGGTTGCTGTTGTCAACTTGTCAACCCTCAGTCCTGGTGATCTAAGTCAAGCATGAACTTTGCCAGCCTAACACATTATTCGAGTCCTTCTTTTCCCCTTTCTTGGTCAAACATAGTTGCCAGACTCAATCGGACGCATCAAACCAATCGCATCCAGTTTCGAATCCAACTGTGGGCGCTTACAGGTACCGGCATTTGATGACAGACATGCTCGAGCTGCTTCCCCACAGCAAGAAGGACGTAAAAGTCGAGTCCAAGAACAACAAGACCACGCTTAACGAGCTCGCCGACTTAAAAGGCTGTACCAGCTGCCTCTTCTTTGAGGTAAGCCCTCCAACTGTTCTACTTTACGACTGAAACTCTCGATTGATACAAAGCGACACCTACGGCAATGAATGATCTTTGGGGGGCAGCTGACCTGTTGTGGGGCAAGATTCGAGAGTTGATGAGGTGCCTTTCAGGCACACATTGGAGGGTTGGGAATGTTGTCGTTGTTTCCAATCGTTCGAGACCTACTCTGATGGTATTTTCGCGAACCTGTTCTGGGCTCTCTTTATCAGTGGGGATAGCCCATTGGGCAATGAAAGGCGCGTTTTTGGGGAGAGATGCGACGGGTTTTAGAGGCAGGACTGATCAGTATTCAACTTGCCAAAAGTGTTCTGCTCCTGACAATCTGCTAGATTTGGTTTTTGCCTGGTCGACATTCCCGGCGTTTGTGGGATGCTCGGTGAGGATGCTCGGATACCGGCAGAATCGGTTCATATCGCCCTCTCTTGTCTGCCAATCCATCTCTTGAAAGTCACTGACCAGATCGGTTCGCTCTTCTGCAGTGTCGGAAGAAGAAAGATCTTTACATGTGGCTCGCAAAGACGCCGTCAGGGCCCTCGGCGAAGTTCCTGGTGGCTGGAGGTACGTTATCTACTTTGCTCACGTTCTCAGAGCTCGAGATGGGCTCAAAAAGCCCCTGTTGTCAATTCCGCTCTCCCCTTTGGACGCCTGCAACATGTGGCTTGCATCAACATCGAAATCATGAGAGACGCCGTGTGTTGCTGAAAAATCACCGAGATTCCGCAGACTTACGAGGTTGGATTGAAGATTCAGTCTTGTAACTAAGGTCAAGTTCGCCATGAAGGAAGCGTTTGGCTGTCCAGTAGGCCTTGCAAGCGTGCTCCACGCATCAATGGTTTCGTTCGTGGGAAACCCAGAGGCGGCGTGACTTACTTGTCGTGACTTACTTGTCGAGTCAGCTCTCGAGTCAGGCACGTAATGATTGCAGTCGCTGCAGGAGGCCATGCCGGCGTCACAAAAACAGTTTCCCCCTCACGTCTCCTTTATCAACAGCTCTCCGAATCTCCCTGTTGGTTTGTTTCATTTGCAGCGCACACTGCGAACGAAGCTTAAGCTCGAAATCGCTTTTTATTCATCAACATCAACCCGCATTCACACCCGTCCTTGCCCCGTATTCACACCCACTCCGCTGTGTTTCCCAGTGCACACCAAGGACGAGCTGAAGCTGACGGGCAACCATTCCGAGTACCAACATCGAATCCCGTATTCATACCTTTTCTTGCCCCCGTATTCACACCGATTTTGCATGTTTCGCAGTGCACACCATGGACGAGCTGAAGCTGACGGGCAACCATTCCGAGTGCCGGTATTCACACCTTTTCTTGCCCCCGTATTCACACCTATTCCGCTTGTCTCGCAGTGCACACCATGGACGAGCTGAAGCTGACGGGCAACCACCTGAAAGGCTCCCGCCCCGTCCTCTCCTTCTCCGCCGAGTTCGACCAGCTGCCGCATCTGCAGGTCACCAAAGAGCTGCTCACGCAAGTGAGTGCTCCGTTGAAAGAGTCGCCTTTTCAATATTTCCGCACCTAGCCGGTTCTCCTGCCTAGACTTTTTCGCCCCGTTGGAGCGGATTCTGTCTATGTTTATATGCGAAAAGGCGACAGGCGTAGTTGAAGTTGTTGAATTGACTCAGCGCCTGTGGATGTTCAGTCCGCCCGACGAGCACCGCAAGTGAAGGCTCGTCGACTTTCATTATCCTTCTCGCTTGTGGGGGTGATTGTTGTAGACCTGTCCCTTCAAATCTGAAGTTTGTTCAACAATCGAGGTGAAGACCCTCAACGCAACCACTACCCCACTGCTTGCGAGCATTCGGCTTGCGTAGAGCGTATTGCAAGGTGAAGCCGTTCGTATATCACTCGTCTGCCCTGATACCTTAACGGCAAACCCCAAAAACTTTGAACCACTTATTTTTCGTATAACTGGCCCTAAGGGAGCACTGAAAGGTGAAGCCGTTTGCACATCACGTTTTTTACTTCGTACCCCTCCCACAAACTCAAAGGTTTGAGGTTCCAAAACACCCTATATTCCGGAATAACCTCGTAAACCTTTACTTCCGACCCCACAGATATTCGGCACGCCGAAGGAGCACCGCAAGGTGAAGCCATTCGTGGACCACGTGTTCGCGTTCTCGGTGCTGGACGGCCGCATCTGGTTCCGCAACTACCAGATTGCGGTCCCCGCGCCGCTCGGGAAGCTCGACAAGGCGGCGCTGGAGAAGATGACGCTCATCGAGGTGAGCACACGTCACCTCTTGACATGATCTGACGTCGTCTTTGACCTTTTGATTTCTTGGGAACTGCAAAACTGCGGTTCCCGCGCCGCTCGGGAAGCTCGACAAGGCGGCGCTGGAGAAGATGGCGCTCGTTGATGTGAGCGGGCTCGACATCGATCTTTGACGTCATCCTGTACGGCCTCAGCTTTTGCTCGGTCCACAAGGTTTGAAGTCCCCATGCCCGTGCGGAGTTTCGACGATCGTCGTAAGGACGTCGATTGAAGTAAGCAGGCATGACGTCATCGCTCGAGTCACCTTTTTGCGTCACTTAGATTCTGCAAGGCTTGCGGAATCCACAGGCGTCGAGCAGAGTCGACCTGAGAAGGTGACCCCTCTCAAGGTGAGGGCGCGCTCTTCTTGGAAGCTGGGCGTGACGTCAAGAGTTGCTGTTACCCAAAGTTATTCTTGACAAGAATTGTTTGCTAAGGGGAGCACGATATCCATCACAGAGGTCATCAGTGAATACACGAGAGCTCTCTCCGAAACTACATCATTCCACCGGGAAGAAGCCTGGAAAACGCTTGCGTGCGCCCTCCTAAAACTGGCGTGACGTAAGCAAAGCACGGCGGGGCCGGCTTCGAAAGTGGTCGGCGCCTATTTCACTGCTGCTCTCGCCAGTGCGTAACTTTCAAGGGCTTTGAGCGCACTTCTTTTGCGCGCTTTTGTCAAGCATTACCTTGGCGGCCCGCCTTCTTGCTTAAATCCAGTCCGTCAATGCTCGGAAACCTTGTGTGAGTATCCGGCTGTTCTCATGGAAACATACTGTCTTTTCTGCGCACCGTACCTCTACTGTATTCCTCCAGTTTCTCGAGCATGAATTTCCGAGATTCTTACAACTGATTCGCACACTGTCAGGGCCTTTCTTCTCCATTATTTCAGGATGTAAACCATCCCGGATCGAAGCGTTTCTGACTTCTTCCATCTGTTTCCAGGTCGGTCCCCGCTTCGTGCTGAACCCGATCAAGATGTTCTCAAACAGCTTCGCGGGGGCGACGCTGTACGAGAACCCGGACTACGTCTCACCCAATCTGGTTCGTATTCCCGAACCCCAATCCGAAACGGAGCTTTTTGGAGTTTCTTCCAGACTGCCCATGTCTTCGCGTTCCCCGCCGAAAATGATCGAGTGCAACCACATGTCAAAGTGCAGAAAATGTGTATCGCCCAAATGTTGGGTCTTGATATTGTCTGCTGGAATCGGCGCGTGTCATTGTGTCGTCTTTGCGGGCATACAGCGCGAACCCGGCTTCTCGATTGCATGGACTGTATCCGTGTCCAATTCCATGCAGATTCTTTCGAAAGCTATCACGGATCGAGTGCCTCTGAATTGTTGACACGTGTCCGCCTGTTGGCTGCAGCTGAGATCGAACGAGAAGAAGGCCAAGGCTGGCAAGTACGTCAAGAAGGTGAAGGCCAAGCAACGGCGGAAAACGCACCTCGCAGCGAACCCGCTGCAACCGGACGAACTCGCCGATGTATGGGAGGACTGAGTGTAAGACGATTGGACACCTTGATCTGCCGTTCCTTTCATTGCGAATGTTTCTGAATGCATGCGCCTGTAACGTTCGACCCGGTGTCTGACTTAATGTTTCAAGTGCTCAGTGCATGACTTTTCCGATGCAACACTTATGACCGACATCAAGCTACCTGGAACTCCGATGTCGGGTTGTTTATGTGCACATTTAGCATACTTGCTACCATTTCATCAGGACTCTGTGTATAGATGCATGAACAGAGGTTCATGCAATGCATAATTCAAACTGCGTGAACTGATACATGCTGCTATAGCAAACCCCTTACGCTTGCTTCGTACTGTGTTGCTTGATAAGTGATGTGATTTGCTATGGTCACTCATGCATCATGATAGCTAGCCAACACAATGAGTTCTGGCATTGCTCTCGTCAAGCTTGGAAGACGGACCATGGTGCATCTGACTCTCTTTTAAGACAAAAACGTTCTTACTACCTATTGGGGACCGCAGGTTGTGAGATTGCTTCAATCCGGCTCTGCCATCGATTGATGTATATTCTTCCGACTACCTGTTGCGAAGCATGTAAACATGAGTGCGTATGATCTCATGTCAGCAATTGAAGTTGAGATTCAACTAATCTGCACGATCAGAGATAGCTCGCGAGCATGTGCCTGGGAATCGCACTTTCTGCGCGCATGCATGTTCAGTGCATGACCGTCCGTTCTGGATATCCGTACGTATTGCAGCGCGTAGCGGCACATGTGCATTTTAGACGAGTCTATATTCTATAACGGCACGTGAACAAGGCGCTCTGCCCATGGCTGGACCGCATGCACCTCATTTGCATTCTTGCCCAGCTCTTTATATAACCAGTATGATTAGGCACGACGAACCCCTGCAGCACGCGCGCATTATCAAGCCTTGATTTGGTCTGACCGTCCGCCTGCAAAACTTCATGTCTGCCCGCAGAGCAGGATTCTTGCTCTGATGACTGATCGACATCAACAGCACCTGGTACCGAAGTTGATCGCCCACCTGACCGCAAGCAGCTCTCCCGAGGAACCTCCTAAACCTAGTGGGTAATCTAATTTGACTTAGTCAGTCTGCTATTGATGACACTAAAAGCCAGGACATTGCTCGGGATAGGCTGTATGCACGCGGCAAACTTCGGCCGCGCCTCCTAAGAGGCGCGCATGCGCGGCCGCCTAGCCGCACTCGGTTATGATAACCCTCAGGCTCAGGCCCGCACGCGGCTGGCCGACGTATAACAAAAGACATGCAT